ACACATCCCACAGGAATAAAGCAAGCTATTGCTCATCATCCTAATACCATGTAAATAGAAAGGAAACAGAATGGGAGGGGAGAATGTATGTTTTGCTTCTTCCTCAAACACAAATAGGTCTCAATGACTTACCTGTCCCCAGGCATAGAGGTTATTGTGTGTCTGTGAGGGGTTCACTTTTGATAAGAGGAACCGAGCCTATGAGAAAAACAAGATGTTACAAAAGTAATTTTAAAAATAAATATCAGTTAGCTGCCTCAGGATCCAACATCATAGATAGTCTGCTTAGTTCCTGCATTGCTTCACTTTTCTAAAGAGAATTTTCTAATTTAACTTGGTTATTAATGTTCAAATCCAATTCCTGTTTATGGGTATCACCAGAGCAGCCATACAATACAATGATTTTCTTCTCCTGATCGCTGCAATAGCTAAATTTGACTGAAGTTTTTTGGTTATCAACATTTGCTACTATCTGACATGGCTATTATTCAGCTGTTACAGAGAGAGAGAAGAGAATGAGAGGTGGATAAAGCTAAAATAAATTCTTTATTCCCAGACACCCATGGCATATGTATTACATGACTCAGTGCAACAAGAGTAGGCAAGAGACTTCCTGTTTTGAATGCTGGCACATCCTGTAGAATAAGGAACAGACCTCTAAGCTACTATGACCCACAAGGGACAAAGGAACCTGCTCTGCTAGTACAGCAAGTTTTCAGTTCCTTTAAAAGAGGCAATCTTCTGCATCCTAGTGGCAAATATGCTTAGCACTGCTGTGGGAGGCAGGCCACAAGCTTGTCCTTCTGGTAAGGAGTTCCATCTCCTGGGCTTATGTTCCCTCACCTGCTGCATATCTGGGTTAGTTCAGCATGACAGTGTGACAACATGACATCCATTTCAAAACAAAAACCAAAAAGGTTTCTTTGAGGGTGAGCATCCCTTTGCTGCACCAAGCAATGGTGGCTGAGATCTTCAGTACCACAGTGTTTTCACTCTGATGTTCCCACTAGGCCAGTGGTTTTCAACCTTTTCAGAGTCGTGGCACCTCTCCACCACTTCTTTGAATGTGGTGACACCCATGGCTGAGAACTTCAATTTATTTCAGTGCTTCTCAACCAGGTGCTGCTGTCTCCAGTTAAAACTGCCCCATGTTCCTGCTGCAAATCCAGACTGGGAAGGGCTGTTACATACACATGCTCCTCCTGCATTAGGGCTTTCTAATCAGCTTAAAATAGCAGCAGCTGCCTCATGATGTAGCTCTTTCTGGTCTGGTGCCCCGTATGCTTCCCTCAAAAACAGGTTTACAGGACAACCGTCCTACTCACCTCTGTTTCTGCAAGAAAGAGCGTAGGAGGGGCTGGACTGGGAAGGGTTACAGCCAAGCCAGCTCCTGCCTGCAAAAGGCTAATAAGAGAGCCCTAATGGAGCAGGAGTGTGCAGGGGATAGTATTACCTGGCTGCCACTGAGATGGCAGCCCCTGCATCAAAACACCCCAAGTGAGAAGCACTGCACTAGGTCCTGAGAAGAATGCTTTGGAGAGACTCGCAACCAGGAATATCCGTGCCAGGACATTCAACACCATGTCACTGATTTGGTCCCTGAATAGTGACTACTATTTTCCTATTCCAGCAACAAATGAGTCAGTTGCAGATACTATACAGTGAATACCCAACTAAAATGGGACTAACTAGGACCTGTCTAGTAACTTGAGAGAGCGCAATTATTTGTCACCTCTCTCAGAGGAGAAAGGACAAAGTCAAAAAGAAGAGCTACAGTGACACAGTCTTGACTGGTTCAGGAACCACATAAACAGTCTATGTTTATCAAAGAATGACAGCTTCCTATAGGGGTGTAGGTTGTAGCCATGTTGGTCTAAGGACA